CACGGAAAAGAAAACTAGAGACAAAGAGTGCTGCCTTTCTTTTCCCTTTGTCATCACACTTTCCTTTCAAAATTATACGAAGCAGCTAGCCCAAACCGAAGTACTCCTTATTCATGCTACACAACAGAACACACAAATTACATATGCCAACTAGAATAATGTCATGTACAACGCTTTTAATGAGGCAACGTTTAAAATGCAGGATATAATCAGGTGACGGAGCATTTTCCATCTGTTTTTCTAGATATAACTAGCATTTAACCAAGTTCTAATGACAAGTAAACCGATGTCAACGTTGTCAAACAGAGTAGACTTGGCATCCTTCCCTTCTGTGGTATCAGTGGCCTGGTTATTTGCTCCTGCGCGGCTCTCCCCAGCCACGACGAAACGAAAGAGACCCAGGAATGTGTTGACTGGACGGTGGACACGACTCGCAATGCTAGACGATAAAACGAAGGCCGTAATCTGCAAATTGCGCAAGAAATGCATGGCTATGTTCAGCCGTTTGTGTCTTTGTGCTATCCTAAACAATATTTTTTTTTTGCTTCTTTTGATTGATATGTGGGATTTAATGTCCCAAAACATCCATATGATTACGAGAAATGCTGTAGTGGAGGGCTTCGGAAATTTAGACCACCTGGGGTTCTTTAACGTGCACCAAAATCTGAGCACACGGGCCTACAACATTTCTGCCTCCATCGCAAGTGCAGCTGCCGCAGCCGGGACTCGATCCCGCGACCTGCGAGTCAGCAGCAGAGTACCTTAGCCACTAGACCACCGACCACCACAGCGGGGCTTTTTTGCTTGTTGTCATACACACAAGTTATAGAGGTCTTTGTTTGAAATTATTCCAATTTTTTAAGAAAATTATTGTGCCTATAATTATAATTTTGAAGCCTTAAAACATTGTTTTACCTGCCCGTCTTTGGCCCCAAAAACAATTCTTAGTTCCTAGAAATCCAGCTTCTAGTCTTAAGCCTTTTTAATATCGAGGAAGAAAGTATTGTTTATGGACGAAATCATCTCAGATATGTGGCTAAATACGTACCAGGTGGTCGGTGGTGAATGTACCCTCTCAAAACCCGCACCGGAATTGGTCGAGCATATTGTTTCGTTCAAGAAAATGTATAAGTCGGAAGTGTATCATCTTTTCGAAGCATATACATAGGCAGATGGTAAGAGCGATGAGCTTATAACTCGAAACAGAGGAACAGTCCGTGCCCAGTTTCAAAATGGGAATAACAATAGCCTCTTTCCAAGAAGTAGGGATCGTGCCAGGAAACTAGATAACATAATTTACATAGGCAGATGGTTAGAGCGATGAGCTTATAACTCGAAACAGTGGAACAGTCCGTGCCCAGTTTCAAAATGGGAATAACAATAGCCTCTTTCCAAGAAGTAGGGATCGTGCCAGGAAACTAAATAACATTATACAGGAAAGGTAAGGTTTTTTTTGCATTTCGTGGGGCATATTTTCCAACTATTCATACACCACAGCGTCGAAACCTCGCACGAAATTACTGCAGCAGTTTAGTGATGTTTGTAGCTCAGCTAAGCTTACACGTTGGTTTTATGCCTCGTATTTTGTACATTTGTGTTCTAGTTCCTGTTTTTCTATTCTTTTGTATCTTTGGAACGCTTCAGTATAGAGCGACAAGCTGGACACCTGCTCAAAGTGTGCATTGAAGAAGTTGCCTGATTTTTCAAGCTGTCGCCTTGTGTGTTTACAAGAGGGAGTGAATATGTATGCCTTCCTGATACCTCACTAGCCATGTTCCATACTTCAGCATCATGTGTGTATGAATTGATGCCCGATAAAAACTCGTGCGAACTTTGCACTCTCGCTTGTCGATGCGTCATCCTGCCTTGGGACTTCACATTTATAAATTTGTAAGATTGTCAGCTATCAGCAGGTCCCAAAGCAACTCCATAGTTTGTTTGCTGTTTGCGTGCATTTTTGCACTCTGTTTCCCCATGGGACACGTCGTTAGCTGGGCAGTTTAGAGGTTTGTGGGATGCATTGAATTGCAGCGTCTGCTAAAGTACTGTACAGCTGCATCTATGCTTAAACATAATATGTCAGTCCAACGAGTAATCTTATGAAACTGTTCCCAATAGGCTTTGTCTGTGAGCCATTTAGAAGCCTAGGACATTCATTTGATAGCAGTGAGCTCAGAACTATAGGAAGTGCTCACTTCCAAATTGATTAACAATTAATTTGTGTTTGAGTAGGGGTAGAAGCGATAGAGATACAATGCTGAGGTATATGGAAGAGTAGATTTTGTTGAAGAGGCTGTTGGCTCTTTACTATTCAATAGACACGTGCCAGATGAAATGAGGAACTGCTCTATTAGGCGACCTCGTGTGTCGCAATGAGAATCGCCCCATGCACCATTATGTGCATTCATGTCCCCAAGGATGAGATAAGATTAAGGTAATTCATCTATTAAGAACTGGAATTCATGTTTTTCAAGGCTCTAGAGTGGAGGTATGTAGAGAGAGCAAATGACGAGTTTGTTCAGAACTGCTCAAATAGCCTCAGCTGCCTCAAGGTGTGTTTGTAGTGGTAGATGAGTACATGCTACTCTGCGACTATGATGGCCGTGCCACCATATGACACCACAGCATCATCTTGGTGCTTGCGGTATATGGATAGGAATGTAGAAAATTGGCGTTTTTGGATTTAAGTGTTTCTTGTACACACAGCACTTAAGGTGAATGTTTGTGCCATCATAGAGGTTTTCAAGCAGTCCTTTTGCCCAACTCGTATTTCCATATTGAAAGAAAAGAAGAGCTATGTGGACGAAAAAGAAGTGACTGCTGTTTAAGTGGTAGCTTAGGCAGCAAGGCCTTCTTTGGGCCCTGTTGTCTGTTTCTTAGTTTTCCTTGTGCACTCCAGGGAGCTACACTGCTCTTCCGGAATCATAGGTGCCAGATTTGTGTCTATTGCCTCTTGTGAGACACTTGATGCCCAAGTACGCAAGATGCTGTTTTTTTATCCTTGCTTGGAGGGACAGGGTCGTGAGACCTTGTGACCCTTAAGTCTCTTGGACATGGAACTTTGTAGGTGGAGCGGACTTGGCTGCTGATGATGACGGGATGTCTGACAGTTACTCTGCAAATGACATTTTAAATAGTTGTTTCTTCTAGGAATAATCCTGGCCTGAATTATAGCTGTTGTTTTCAAGGGAAAATTTGACTTTACATTAAGGCACACAGCATTATGCTGAAGTTCCCCACTATTTGCTCTCTATGGAGAAATGTGACAAACCAGCGGCACGTAGAAACATAAGTTGTGGAAAGACTACATGAATAATGTAGCAATTACTTAATTTGCAAAGAGTGTATATATAATGCTTTTAGATGGCCACGTACAAAACCTACGGAATGTGCAAGAGTTTGCCACCTCTTCAATAAGGCACTCAAGATGCTTCACAGCAACCACACAAGCTGCAATGTTTCCAATAAATAGAGCCAACCTTCAGCACCAAGCTTCTCCGCTTGTATGCACCACAGCCTCATAAGGTTCCATTAGTACGAAGGCCCGCTGCAGACCGCTACCCGACAGTTTCTTAAGGGACACGCGTGCCCCATCAGATAACTGGCTCTCGCTAGAATCCACTGACGACTGCCGTTATTTAACCGGCTGCATTATTAAAGATGATAGTCTCTCTTGGGGACCTTCGAAACAAATTTTGATATGTCTGTCTGTACATTTGTGTGTTTGTCCACTTTTAACAGCATCGGGTACTTGAAACGGCTGACCCCATCTGCAGTGCCCACCAATGCTGCTCAAGGTTCAGCGTTCATACTTGTGCAATTGTCAGTCAAAAAGCAATCATTGCGCATGTCTGGGGCTCCATAACAACACGTATATATTCTGCATGTGCGTCTTTTACAAGAGAAAGCATACATAAGTAATTTTAAGGACCGTAGCGCTTATCACGCTGCACTGACCATGCAACGCTTGCATGAAAAGGTGAGTACTCATTTCCAACGCTTTGCTAAGACGAGACCGTGGTGACACCTACCCGTCGCCTTGCGTTCTACATCTTATCACCTGAGATGGACGCGCACATCCACCTCTGAGCAACGCGCTTTGTTTTCTAAGAAAACTGCCAGATGGCGCTTATGTCTCACGTGAAGGAAACGGAGACTGACATGTGGAGAATGGGCATGATTAAGGAGTCCGCACTAGAGATCTATCGAACTTTTAAGCAGGAAATTGCCAAGGAAAGGATCTATGATAATACTCGGGGTAGTTTTCTACTGTTTGAGGCCAGGACGGGAGTACTGCGAACCAAGACATATCAGGCCAAATACGAAGGGGTAGACACAGTATGCAGTGCGTGTGGAGAGGAAGAAGAAACTGCCGAACACTTGATAATGTTCTGTAAAGGGCTTCACCCTATAGTTCAGGATGATGGCGCAGAGTTTTTCAAAGCACTGGGGTTTAGGGACTGGGAGGGCAAAATAGACTTTAAGTGGGTAGACTTACCTAGAAGGAGGTTATCTGATTGGTGGCTAAAGTCAAGGCACGAGTGAAAATTAAACCCTTCACTGCAAAGTACGAATCCTCAAACTCACTTTTTAAAGAAAAAAAATAAATCTAGTTTTTGGTTCATTAAGTATTACGGCTTGGTGGCGCTAGCCACCACCCGATCTAAAGGGTACAGCCATATCCATCCATCCATCCATCCATGTCGCGACTTGATGCGCTCGTTCGCTTCCGCTGCACGCTCGAGGCACTCTAACGCAGCGCCTCCAGAATACCATTCACCAGTTTTCTTGCGCAGAACATCAAATAATTGTTTTGTTCACATTCTCCAGACGCAAGATTATCGTCTTTCAACGACATTTGCAGATTAATATGGAGATACGGGGCCAATTTTTTTCACCCAGGTGTGGAAAACGGCGACAAACAGAAGTCTAATCTTGTTGATGTAGATTGTGAATAGGTCTTAGCGAAACACCTTACGAATATTAAAAACAATTCTCACCCTAGAGTCATCGGCCAGCGACCATTCCGCAGCCCGGGCTCGCATGTCGGCAGTTGTGAGCGGCTGCTCCCACACCTTTGTAGCCTCGTTGTCGTGTACTACCTGTGCAAGGCACGCCCAACTTATTCAATGCGCGCACTCACACACTTCTGTACCATGGTACTCGAAACGCACGGTTGTGCTTAAGTGTGCCACACAGAGGCGGAAACGTATCTAGATTTGCCATAGCGTACTACTATTATGGTCCCAGCAGTCTATAAAATATTCCTCGCACTTAGGTAAAGAACAAAGTCGGGGCGCTTCACATGTTGCGCTCTGAACTACGCCCCTTGGGCAACGCGGTTGTGAGAGCGTGACCAGACAAAGAAAAAGGCGAAGCTATTGGCAGGTATAGTGCACATTCGTGAAGCCCTCAATAAGAGAAGGCGAACCTTACAGTGCTCATGATCAAGCGGGGACTCAGCCGGTTACGACAGCGATGGTAGAACAGCGGCCCACAGAACACCTGAGCGGCTGTATAACAAACTATTATTCCGTGCACGACCTACTGTATTGTACTGACCTGTCCAGCGAGCGAAGCGCCAGCACGCCCTTTCTGGTACTGGCGCCTGCCGCTATGCACTCTGTGGCGCTACAACTTACCTCATCCTAAGGCCCCTAGCATCCGCACCGGTTGCTGACGGCCAAAACATAGGCCGCCGCGCTTTTTTTTTTTTTTCTTCTTTGTCGTTTGCTCGCGCGACACTGGGAGAAAAGCAGCAATGTTTACGCATGCATACACTCTAGATGATTGAAAAAATGAATAAAAGCCTCTTTTTGAATACACTTAAAAGTATAATGACGATCTTTTGCCACCGTCTCTTCGTGTCGAGCTGCGACAGAAGCGTGCAGGTAGGTGCAGTTTTTACACCAGCGAAGCGAGGTTTCTTGGTGCAAATGAACCATCACGATGGTGGTGTGCTGCGTGCCTTTCTGCGAATCAAGGCAAGGGAAGACCTCTGATGTCACTTTTCATGAGTTTTCAGTGACCGAGGTTGGTGAAAAAAATGGATCAAGGTGATTTCTAGAAAGGGTCTTCTCAACTAGGTGTTGTCTGGTATGCTGAAAATATAATGGGTTGTAAATGACTACGTGTCTTTAAAAGAGCGAGTTGCTGGGCTGGTTGGTGGCGCATGACAGACTGATACGCATATTAGCGCAAAAAAATAAATAAACCAAAAACCTCAAGAAAGTAAATGACGACGTGCCATATATACTCACAACTTTTTTATTAGCAAACAAAAAAGATGACAAGAGTGCACATATGGAAGCCATGTCACTACATGTGGTTATGCAACTATGTTTTCAAATACACCCATTGTGGGAAGAAGCAGCTTCTCCGAGATTGCTTTAGTATATTCTCGAACGTGCTTGGCGTTGCCGACTCGCACCTCGTCGGTGTCGTTGGTCTTCCACTGCCGACGCTAGCGTACGGCTTCCCTGGCTCGCCCCTCGACGGCGTTCCAGGCGCGACGCCAACTACGCGAACGCGATCGACTTCAGTAACCCCTAACGCCGGCGACGGCCGGGAAAGGTACGCGCACTCTAGCGGGAAGCATGCCGCAGCAGCGTCTCGCTCGTTGGCATGATCGCGCCGCGCTGCAAGCAGGGGTACACCAGACCACTTGCGGTGCGCTGTCCACGTTGCCGGCGCTGCGGGACCACGGCCGAGCTAGACGACAGCGCGCGAGTGCGCCTACTTGCGGCTTCTTTTCACCAAAAGATGGAGAGAGGTGGCGCGGTTGAGGAGCTGATGCTGACGTGAGGAGTGGGCTCGAGCGGTGCAGAGGGTAAAGTTGTTGTTGTTAGTGGTTTATGAGGAAAAGGAAGAAGGCACCTAATTTCTGTCTGCCTACAGGCGACGGTAAAGTGAGTCAGATGACAGGCGGCGACAGATTAGGGAGAGAGTGACGCCACGCGCGCGCACTGCAAGGGAAGGCGTGGCCTACTCGGCACCGCCTCGGTGCGGAGGGACAGGGTTACACAGACTAGTCGAAGAGATGCTTCGCGTATAATAAGTGAGCGTCAATAAGTGGCCTCGAAGCAAAGTGTCTAATGGACGGTTGATAACGGCAAGGGAAACAGTACCGTCACTGAGGGCGTCGTCGAAGTGAACGTTAGATGCGCTGTTTGCTGTATAAGTTTCAGTTTCTCCAGTTGAATTCGATTTATTGCCTTGCTCCGCGGTGATTACCAGTAGCCGCTATTCCAAAATTTCAAAGTGGCTATAGACTATTCATAGGAAGGGGTTGAATTCACCCATTTGACTGAACTGGCCATCACCACTGCTTAAAAAGTTAATTTTTATAAATACTGCCGTAATTATCTTTGTACGCATTTAAAGATGTTTTGTGCCACAGGCAAGGAAATGTCGCAAATAGCACGCAGATACCTACTATCTGTAATTTTTGAAGAATATTGGGCACATTTCTTTAAACACCCTGTATATATGGCAGCATATTACATCATGTGAGCGTGCACAAAACATTGCATAATTATCATTCATAGGTTAAGCAGAAAACACTTAAACTTGGTGGGATACTTGAGTATACAACCTAGGTATGTGCCGCACCAATACTAGTACTGAAGTATTATCTTTCAGCGTATTAGCCTGGAATATGAATCTCTCCATGTACGTTCAAATACAACTTTTTGTTTTTCCGAAACGAGCCAAGTACCTTTAACTGAAATGTAGCACTTTTCGGTACTGACAACATAGTGGGGCCTGCTCAGACACTTTTTCGCAAATGTGTTCATGTGTACCCCAGGAAGGAAGGAAGAAGGACAGTGATGTTAGCCAGTTTTCAGACCAGCTTGCTACCCTGTGATGTACCCCAAATACCTGAAATCTTTATTGCAGCTCGTGTCTACATAGACCACTGTCCTCGGTATTCCGGAGTAAAATTTGTATTTGGATTCTAACATTTCCTTTGGGCATAATTTATCTCGTAAAAGAAGTCTAAAACGATTAGAATATACGGTATAGCAGTATTTTGCGATAAAATTAACTCTATTCGTGTGATTCCGTTGGGCGTAATGGTGATGAGTAGACTTGAAGAGCGAGTGGTCCTTCCTGGCAAAAGGTCCACTATTCTGTACTGTCAGTAGCCCTTTCTTCTTCTTGGCATATATTGAAGACCTTGAAAAGTGCTCCAGCTCTTCTTCTTTTGAGCTCGTTGTATGCACCATGTCGTTTCGGATCTCTTCTTCATCAAAGAACAGATCTATGCCCCGTACCTTCATCTCATGTGCCTTTCATTACAAATATATCATCTTGGTACAAAAGAAGAACATGATACTGTTGCGCTACATTTGAAGGGAAACACTTAGAGCCACAAAAAAGTAGCAAAACTGGCCTCTTACTCTGTATATCTGAATTTTGCCCTACAACATTATGTACTTCAGTGAGTGCCAACTCAACCTAAGAAAAAAAAAAGAAAACTAACTGAGTAGCATAATACGATAGCACAGACCCAGGACACAAGTGAAATGCAGTGGATGAGACCATGGTGGTTATTTTAGTCACTGCTTCTGACACAGCGCTTGTTCAATGAATGTGGCTCAGTTTGATTGAAAGAAATTCAGGATTTGGCTCATTTTCTAAAGTTCCTGTTACAATCAGGAATTGACCTTTTAAATTCAATCTGTTTTAGAAGTTAAAAATATTTAAGACGCACTTAACGCTCATTTAGAATTCAGCTCAGTTTTGGTTTCTGCATATGGCTATTTTTGAAAAAGAAGTCACACATTTGGAACCCTGCCTTTGTCAATCAGTCAATCAATCGATTTTTATACATTCAGGAACAAGATAGGTTTGTGCGCAGGCACACTGGTTACTAAACAAAGAGGGGTAAAATAATTGTTAGGTTCAAACCTTACAGCCCAGTACAGATAACACATACTGAATAACAGGAACTCTAAGATCAGTAATGATTGTGAAAGAAAAATTCTTAGATGCTTTAGCAAACGAGAAAATTCACTGTCGGCATTGGCGTCTTGTGTCGGCGATGTTGTTCATGGCAACATGAGTGATGCAAAAAAAAATCATGACATGATGAGAGTACCATGTGACGTCATGAAGACGTGACAGATAAGAAAAATTTGCGACTTCATCATGGCGTCACCGTGCCGTCACTATGGCGTCATCACATGAGATAAACGCTTGGTCAAGGGAGGGCAGAAAGATTGCAATGCGTTCGATTCTGGAGGCAGTGCAAATCTACCGTAGGTGCGGAACGTTTTCGAGAGGGAGTGGTGGATGATAAGTGTATCAATTTAGATGAAAAAGAAGAGGGCTTCAACTTTCAAGTCGTAGATGGATACAAAAAGGAACCTGTAAGTTTTTGCTATCACAGTACATACTTAAAGAGGATATAAGAAACAAACTTTAATAAGGCAAAAGTAAAGGGCGGCTCACAAGAAAGCACACACGAGAAAGCATGTTCACAAGAAAGCACACACGAGAAACATAAATAGACAACACGTTCTGAAAGGCATTAAAGTAAAGAAAATTACGCTTGTGAAACATTTAAAGAAGGTCTGTGGCCTGACTTAAATACGGTTACTATAGAAGCGTCTCAACCTCTCTACGGTTACTATGCCCTCTACGAACTGGGCCATAAAATTGGGGACATGCCCACCAGTGTCAGTGTTCAGGTTGTGTGCGCAATCATAGGCGTGCGCACGAGGGGGGCAGAAGAGGCGGCCGCCCCCCTAGTCACCTAAGAGGGGGGCGCAAAATCTGCTTCCTACATTGACTAGGGGGCAGTGTGCCCTCCTAGCCACCCAACAGTGGGAGCGCAAAAGCTGCCTCATACATTTGATTTAATAGAGAGGGGGGGCTGCGGTGGACCTTCACCCCCTCTGAACGGAACCCTGTGTACACGTATATGCGTGATTTTGTGTTTCCGGTACAAGGAGGAGAGCATGCATGAATGACAGCAAACAGCAGTGGCCAGCAAACCTTTGTGTTATTGTTCATGTTGTTTTAGGCCCCGGCTTTTGTTTTACTGAAATTGGGTCGATGTAGATTACGGAAAAGTTTTTGATTGCGATCATACAATCGGGAAGACGGATAAGAAATAAGGAGTCTCCTGAGTGAAATGGAAGAGTTGGCACGTATGTCTTTTTGTGTCTTAACTGTAGCTTTTAAGCCCACTTCACTGAATTTAAACAAACTAGCCCATCTTAACACATTACAGAAGTAACTTGTGTGGCCTAAAACAGTAAAAACAATCTTGGTGATGTATGATGCTGAAAGTGACAGAAAATGAAGTTCAAAAGGACAGACCATAAGGAACCTCCCTGTGGGAAAATATAAGTGAACATATGAAAGTGGTTCCCATGAAACAGGTTCAGACATATTAGTTGCAAAAGGGTGCAATGATAAATCGGCAGCAGTGACCAAAAAATAAGACAAAAAAAAGCTGTTAACCATTTTTGAATTCAGTTATCAAGCAGTGAAACAGACCTCCCAAATCCAATGCATGAGATAAGCATAATCAGCCTTACAGTAATTAGCAAAGGCTATTATACACAGTGATATCATAAAAATTTAATGTAGGCTCGGCCAACAAAACTGTATCCAATGTTGGCATATCAAGGGCAAAATTATAGCTAAACACTTGGAAATTGTTGTTCCAGTGTAAGATACCACTCCAGCTTTTTTTTTCACTAATCGTACTAATATTTATATCTGACATACAGCTATGTATGGCCCGTTAACTTTTTGTGGTCTTTTGTTGGGCCCTGCCTACTAATGCAACATTGCCACAGCATTGTTGCTGCAATTTTATTATTTAATTTTTTCAATAAAAATGTGTTGCATTATTGCTGATCTATTCTTTTATTTTCACTTGCTATTCATTTACTCTGATAAGAAGGCTGTTGATGTGCACTGCTGTAAACTTTCCAAAGTGTACTTTTGGGGGCATGAGCTAGTCAAGCTGCTTGTCAGCTTTTCCCCCAGCCTACCTCATCTTCTTGATAAGGCATATGTTGTTATTATAACTTTCAATACTCTAAAATCTTAGATTAAATTAGATATGTACTAAGATACACTAAGTGTATCTTAGAAGTGTGGAAGTTTTGAATGCTCAGACTCGTATACACACGACTACAACTACATGATAACAAAACGCCTATGTTTGCTCGTATTACCACCTTAAAGGTGCCCTGAAACACTTTTTCAAGTAACTATAAAACAGATTTACTAAAAGAGGTTATTGCCTCAAGAATTCAATCCCGCAAAAATTTCAAGAATCCGTCCAGTACGAGCCAAGTTGCAATGACTTGTCACAGGCTGCAATCACGTTCCCCTCTTCTCTCGTGCCGATGAAAGCGCTGGAAGCTAAGCAGGGAAGGATGGCATGGGCATAGGAAATACCTCACGCGTGCCTGGTGACCTCAAGCATTTTTTCTTTTCTTTTTTTTTAGAATATGCGGCTTTTTCAGCATGATCGCGTCCACACGCGTGGAGAAGTCGCGGCTTCCCGCGGCAATCCTTGTAACGATGAAGCGCCACATTGAAATCAGCCTATGGCAGATAGGTGGCTACTACGAGTTATTTTTTAATTTCCTCTGTCATTCATCGAGAGAAGAGAAAGCAATCTTCAGGTGACTTTGATAAATTATTGTGTATGGCAGGCTGCGTGCTGCGCTATAATATTTCGCTCTCACGTTCTGGGGAGCCTCTACTGCTGATCGGCACTGTTTTCTGACCATGCACAAAAAGTGCTGCAGGGGCCCTTTAAAGCTTGTAACGGATACAGGCATACTTTACAAGGTTGCTGCTTAGTATGGAAGTGTGCTCCATCCCAGCGATGATTTTCAGCTTTGAAAAGGCTCTTCGAACAATAAAAATGGCCATTTAAAATCTGAGTCATTCGGACAAATCTGAAATGTCAAAATTTTACTGGCAAGTTTTTATCAGATTTATCCCAAAACACCGAGGTCTATTTATAGGCCATGGTGAAATTAAGTACAAATTTCAAAAATAGACCCTGATATTATAGACATGATTCTTTGAAAAACACAATGGGGGGGGGGGGGGATTTTAGGTTCAGCAGTGGGCAAAAACAGTGCGACACCCTGGTAACACTGAATGCGCTACAGCTGTACGACTGCCCCATGGAAAAAAATGGTAATAAAGCTCACTTTCATGGCAATATCACAGAAATGGCCCATCTATACAAATGTTAGAGCCAAACTGTGATGTATTGGCAACTTAGGTAATCACTGACACACACCAACACTTTATTAAGACATGAAACAATATGTGCAAATGCTATAATTTTAATATAGTTTTTGCCAACTACATTTATAGTGGGTACAAGTAACTAATGCCAAAGAAAAATGCGTAGTGCATGTTTCAACTGAGTTTTCCCATACTTTGTCAAGAAAGTTGTAAGAAATCATACACAAAGCACAATTCCAACAGTTACCCAAGATAAATTGGAATGTACGAATTTGTGGCCTTGGAGATCTCAGAAAGTTTACAATAAAAAAATGTTTTCACTGTTTGCAATAAAATCTATAAAAAAAGCCTCTTCCCGTGTTTCAAAAGTGCAGTAAATAGTTGAGGGATAAACACATCAATCCACATATGTCAAGAGATCAACTTACATATCTGATGTTGACATAAAACAATGTTAATGATGCAGAATAAATTTTAATGTGACAAGTGAGATACTTCCGTGCCTTTGTATCGAGGTTCAGGAATTTTAATTATTGAGAGAATATGACCATAATTGCACAATTTGCTTTTCATCGATTTCACTTACAATATGTAATGTGACAACAAACTGATGAACACAGGATTTTGATCCACATTTTCTTAAGTATATCCTGCTGTTGAACGACTCCGTGAGGTGTATGTTTGTTTCCCTCACCCTACTGACAAACTTAACTGCAGTAGTTTCTGGCTTTCATTTAGTTACGGGTACCACTCGACTAAAAAAAAAAGATTGTGTTGCATGAATTATCGAGACCGAGAGTTCTAATATAATGAATACGCCACAAAAGTTAGTTTTTCTTAATTTCACTGTCATTTTGCTTTAGCTTTGTGCAAGGTTGGGTGAAGTATGGGTACTATATCAGCAAGTTAATACATAGCATAGTGCTTAGCAAAACAAATGTGCTTTTTCCGGAGAAGCCAACTCTAACAGTCTTATACGAGATTAGATCAATGCCAAGAGCAATGACTTTAACAACTTAACTAACTTGTTCACTCGCCACTAGGGCACATTGGAGGCACCAACCGATTTTGCTAATTTGCACGTTGCGACACTACTGATAAAACCGTACTAGACGAAATTATTGAACAGGAAATACAATGTAACAAATAATAGGCGGCAATGGAATAGAGAAAAGTTCACATGCAGCTGCAACCATTTTATTTAGTTTGCACAAAGCACCTCGAATTGCGCTTAATACATTCAGCTTCTTTGGCCTGACGCCATTCACAAATACTTTGAAATGGGCAACATTTACACTTCCATGCATCTTCGATGTCATGAACTCCTTCTGCAGGCCTCTCGCCAGTCCAGAATGGAAACAACTCCTGCAGAGTACCCATCAACCACTTCTGATTATACTCAACACCTTCAAAACGCAGCGTGTTGTTGGTTTCCTGACTGAAATACTCCACAAGTAATTGGCTGGGGAGAGGTAACCCTTGAACAGCACTCAATACGAACGGCACCAGATGACTAAGGGAGTTCATATGCCGCTCTTCCAGCGGCAACAACTCAAGCACCACTGAGCTCAACTTCACATCCATGTTCACGCGAAAGCCTTTTTCGATATCATTAACGTCCACATTTCCTTGAACAAGGTTACTTAACAGATGGTGATACAACATAACTTGTAACCTATGCGAGCGGCGAACCTGTGCGCTTGGTAGTCTCGTGCTCCTTATCGTTTTCAATTCAACGATGTCGACTTGAAGAGTATCTCTATCGCAACGCACTTCATCTACGACTCCGTTGACAAAGATGTCGCCGTAAAGGACTCTCCCAAACACAGGCACTTCTCGGGCAATTGGCTCACCACAGAGTAAAGAGCGAACAGACTGCAGCAGATTCAGGAATAGGACGGCAATGTTGTCCTCGCGCGTCTCTGTGTGCACAGTAACCACATCTTGAACTTCGAGCTGTCTTGCCATGTGGATATCCGAACCACGAGTGACTTGCGGGCTCTCACCTTCTTCAACGTCATAGCCCATTTCTTTCAAACGAGGTACTCCGATGAGCGTGTACAACAGTTTCTGCTCGCAGTACATTTGACTGGACAAATCTGACACGTATACCCGACCATTTCGATACTTATAAAGAGGAGGTCTTGAGTCGGGGACACCGTCACACTCAAGTTTTGCTATCAGATCATCACCTTCGGGGTCGTCCCAACTGTCATCCATCGCTACCTCTTTAGCTGTCTGCAAAGCACACTGTAACAAGCAAATCAGCTGTCATTGAAGATGTTCACACGGCGAAAAAATCGTATTTGTGGCACACATAACGCGTATTGTGAAGCGCGCGCACCATACACGCATTTATGGAGAAAACGCGCACCGCAACTTGTTTTAACTTGTCGTTCCATAGTGGCCAACAGTATAAATATTATCGTCATATTTTTTTTGTGCAAAACACGGAGTGGTGAAAAAACTGGTGATCCAAAGCTGTCCTTGTTTTACTCTTTTGCTAAAACACACAATAAAATTCTAAATAAAACACAAATACGCCAACGTTATACAAAATACTGAAATAGTGTTATGTATTTAGAACGTTGAATGCACATACAGGCATAGAGTTTCCCAAAATTACCTAGAGGGCACTCTGGCGCTGCGAGCGTTCAGCGACCATGGGAATGTTAGGTAGGCAGGATTTAAAAAGTTGCTGGAGTGGAAATGATTGCGCGAAAGTGAAACTGTTCCTCTGGCAAATTGGCGGATGTGGCGGCCATCTTACTAGGGGTTTAAATAAGTGTTATCGTTCAGCGAATAAAAACGAAGCGTTTCCCTCGCACGCCCAACGAGTTTAATGGGTGAACTTTGTCGGGTGACATAGTGCTCCAAGTGCGTCGTACAGTAACTACTTTTCCTTAGTGAGCCTGTAATCGGAGGCAAAGTTCGTTGAAGATTCAGTCACCCGTACTCGTTGCTGTGTGTTGTTTCGTCGGGAACAACTTTTTTTAATATAGAACTAACGTAGAATTTACATAACATATCAAAGCCACTTCATCTTCAAGTGGGCACTATCAGAAAAAAGCATGTTTCCGCCATCTAGGCAGTGGCAAAAGGTGGCTTCACTTCTGCTGGGAAGGCATTGCGGGAGCTTCCACTCCATCAATTTCACGACCCGGTAAAAATAGCGCAAACGCTATTTTCACCCAACTTGGCCTGGATCCGTACAAAGCTATGGCTTTTGGAGAATGGTGGGTCAGGCAACCTGAGGTTCTGTGCACAGTTAAATCTGGTTCTCTAGACATATTTTTTTCGCGTGTGGCGTGCTGTGGCGGCAACCACAGGTTCTCCAGGCGTGAGACGTATGTGCATGCGTGCGTGTATGGGATGAGCTATGCGCTGATTGCGGTGTCCTTGTAGTGGGCGTGGGTACTGTGATTGAGCTTATCGTTGCTCATGTTCTTGATGAACGCGGACGGTGTTTGTAGCGCTTGAACTTGCACTAGTGTCCCTTGCACTAGAGATCATATTTGCACTGTCACTACGTGCTTCAGCGTTACTTTTGTGATTGCTAATATTTGATTTTTTTTTTGTGAGGTGGCAGCGTTCGTTGTACAAAATTTACTGAGCATGAAAGTATGTTTTTTCACTGTGCTTTGACTGGCACCTTGCTTTTGACTGTTTTGCCGCGTGCTCATCGAATGTATCAATTAATGAGTGGCATTTCAGCCATTTTATTGGTCAACGAGGCCGATTCTCTGTCCCGGTTAAGCCATGCAAGTGTTACACGATGGCAAACAGAACCTTGCCACACGATGTAATTTCGATTGAGATCCTGATCGTGATTGCAAAATGCAAAAGTGGGTCGTTCCTGCTTGAGCAACACGAATAAAATTGAAAGAACCTGTATGGCTCTACTCATTCCTCATACAGCTGCATACGATCATACTATCGATAGTTGTCCATAAACAAGTGTTCGACGCCTAGGTATGTAGTACGTGTGGTTTGCGCCCCGCAGGTTTTCCTGCCTACGCGTGCCTCATTTTCCGGCGCGAAATGACGCCCTTGTAAGCAATAAACTAACTAATATAAATTCCTTTCAGAGATAAAAAAACAGATAGGCACCTGTTTTGTTTTTTTCTTGTAATTGGGAAGTAAGCGAATTTATAAGGAGAAAAAAAAAACTTCGTCCATGTAGGATGACAGCAAAAAATCACTAAAAAAATGGTGACTTCTGTTAATGTATAAAATGTTGAACAATGACATAAATTACAATTTGAGACTTACGTATATCATTGAAGAAAGGTGACTGTGGTGTATTTACCAAAATGTACTAAATGACATTAAACATATTGTTACGTCTACGAGGGGTTTATTCGAAGCAGACGTAACGGTCGACTCGACGGTATACCGCAGTGAACGCGCAGCAGCGAGCTCTTGCCACCAACCGAACGTCCTCTTCTTCACCTACCACCATGTTCCCCGCTACTCAGGTGCGCATACCTGAATTACACATGTGGTAGCATTTCCCTCCGCGCAGACGAAGCCTACTGGGCGAGTCAAACAGTCTCTCGAGGAATAAAGCGCTTCAAACGTGCAACATGGACAAGTTCAGTTTTTGCAGACCGTCGGCCGTTTGAATGGAGACGCGCTATGCGGTAAACTAAATCACTGATACGGTCTACAACAAGATAAGGTCCCGCATAGTGCGCTAGCAGTTTCTCGCTCAAACCGCGTTTTCTAGTTGGTGTCCACAGCAACACTAGGTCGCCGCGATTGTACGTCACGTGTCGGCGTCGGTGGTCAAAATGTGCCTTCGAACGGTCTTGCGAAGCAAGAGTGCGCAAATAAGCAAGGCGTCTAGCTTCTTCTGCCCGACAGATGATCTCGGATATGCAGGTATCATGGTGGTCCAAACACGGGAAGATGGTATTCAGGGTATGACGAGGTGGTCGAGCATATAGAAGAAAGAAAGGACTGTAGCCGGTAGTTTCATGCTGAGCGGTGTTGAATGCATATGTGATAAAGGGTAGAATACTGTCCCAGTCCTTGTGATCGGATGCAACATACATAGACAGCATGTTCGAGAGAGTTCTGTTCGTTCGTTCAGTTAGACCGTTCGTTTGGGGATGGTATGGTCTAGAGTGCCGAAACCTTGAAGCACAGAAACGAAGCATCTCTTTCATCACGTCTGCCATGAATTGTCGGCCACGGTCGCTGATTACGATTTTGGGAGGTCCATGTCGAAGAATTACAAAACGTAGCATGAAGGAAGACACATCGGCTGCAGTTGCCGATGGTATGGCAGCTGTCTCGCAGTACCGTGTTAAATGGTCGGTGCAAACGACTATCCAGCGATTTCCATCAGAAGACCGGGGAAAGAGTCCAAGGACGTCAATCCCGACTTGCTCGAATGGAGTTCTAGGGGGCGGCACCGGATGTAATCTCGCTAAAGGAGCCCTTGTTGGGCGCTTATGACGTTGACACTCGTTACAGCTAGACACGTATTGTTCCGTCGTCCGGCGCATTTTGGGCCAGTAGAATCTTTCTTGAAGACGGCAAAGAGTTTTTGCTGTGCCTAGATGACCGGATGTTGGGTCATCATGCATAGCCTGCAAGACATAAACGCGAAGACTCTTCGGAACCACCAGAAGATATCGTGAGCCGGTGTTGGTGTAGTTCTTTTTGTAAACTAGCCCGTCTCGGATGCAGAAGCGCGTAGGCGATGATTTTGGTTTGGTAGCAAGAAGCTGTTGTATGGTGCTGTCCCTTTGTTGCTCGTCTTTAAAGGTCTTGTTATCGGGAAATGGTTGGTCGAGTGATGCAATGTAGGTATCGAAGGTGTCCGCGTCACATTCCATCGTTGGAAGCGGTAGTCGCTAAAGACAATCTGCATCAGCGTGACGTCGGCCGCTTTTATAGGAAACCGTGAAGTCATATTCTTGTAGACGAAGTGCTCAGCGCGCCAGCCGACCAGATGGGTCACGCAGATTGACCAACCAGCAGAGAGAATGATGATCTGTCACGACGGTAAAGGGGCGTCCGTACAAGTTGGACCGGAAGCGCTGCACTGCGAAGACTACTGCAAGGCATTCTTGCTCTGTGACAGTGTAGTTACGCTCGGACTTGCTGAGCGAGCGACTTGCATACGCTACGACGTGTTCTTGATTATCCAAGCGTTGAACCAGGACAGCACCTACACCAATACCGCTGGCGTCTGTGTGAATCTCAGTGGGAGCGAGAGGATTGAAGTGTCGAAGAATCGGATGGGACGTCAAAAGAAACTTCAACTCCGAAAAAGCAAACTCGCATTCCGGGGTCCAGTCAAACTGCGCACCTTTCTGAAGCAGACACGTGAGCGGGTATGGGATATTGGCAAAGCCAGGAATGAATCGGCGAAAGTATGAACAAAGCCCCAAAAAGCTGCGCAGTTCTTTCACCGAGTTTGGCTGCTTAAGTGCCTCCACTGCGGCCGTCTTGGCGGGATCTGGTCGTATGCCTTCTTTGTTTACTAAGTGTCCAAGGACGAGTGTTTGGCGCTCTCCAAAACGACATTTTTTTTTAGTTGAGCACTAAGCGTGCTTTGCTTAGGCAGTCCAGTACGGGGCCAAGCTTGGCGTGTGTTGTGCTCACAAAACGTGCGCCCAAAAGTTACAACGTCGTCCAAGTAACACATAGACACTTCCCACTTCAATCCACGCAGAATGTTGTCCATAAATCGCTCAAAGGTTGCGGGCGCGTTGCAGAGTCCGAACGGCATCACATTGAATTCAAATAGTCCATCTTTGTAACAAATGCCGTTTTCTCCTTGTCTTCTTCATGCGTTGGAATCTGCCAGTAGCCTGACCTCAGATCCACAGACGAAAAGTAAGAGGCAGATGATAGACAGTCGATAGCATCATCAATCCGCGGGAGTGGGTATACGTCTTTTTTAGTGATGGCGTTGAGACGGCGGTAGTCAACACAAAATCGCCATGTCCCATCCTTCTTCTTCACTAGAATTACTGGAGCGGCCCACGGACTACATGATTCTTGAATTACATTTTGCTTGAGCATCTCGCAAACCTGTTCATTGATCACTGCGCGTTCCGAAGGCGATACACGATATGGTTTCTGTCGGAGAGGTCTGTGAGATGTCGTGTCGATTCAGTGCTTTATACGAGAAGCAGGGAATGACGGTGAATCATGCTGAGCAAAATCAAAAATACCGGCATGTTTGCGCAGAATACTCGCCAGTTCATTACGTTCCTTGGTGCTGAGTGACTTATCAATCATAGCCATAATGGTGGTGTCCCTGGCGTGCAGATTATCGCAACGGGTCTTATCCGGGGAATCATTGCTTTCTGCGAGGGTGGCAAGCGAGAATACTTGGTGTTCACGAATCTCTGCAAGTTTCAGACCCTTCGGCAG